AAAAAAATCATTTACCAGCCATTTTAATTCTTTCTTTTGTGAACTGCTTATTCATATTTTTTGCCAATTTTACTTAATGGATGATCTTTTAAAATAACAGCTTATGATAATCTTCATATGTTACTGATATTCATGCATGTCTGAAAGACAACTAAATTTTCTTCTGTTAAAATACCTATTTAATGCATCTAAACTTATTTTTTATATATGGCATAGAATATGAACCACTTAATTTTCTTCTAGAGGGATCCCAGTTGTGACATACCAGTTTTTAAGTAGAAATCAAAATTTTTCCATACTAGAAATGCCATGCATTAAATTCCCATAAATATGGGTCAGAGGTTATTTCTATATTCTCTCCTATTGCCTGACCCATTTGTTTAAGCTTTGGAAACACCCTACACCATTTTTATTAAAGTGTTTTATAACATGACCTGCTATGTAGCAAGGTAATTTTTACTTTACCTTTTAATTTTGCATAATTTACTTTTGGACATTTACTTTCTCTTTGAGTTCTTAAATTATTTTATCCATTTTTATAATAAAAAAAATTTGCATTTTTGTTTGCCCCCAAAATTGTTAGGCCTAATTTATTGTCACAATCCTACATAATAATATATAATTTAAAATGTTTAATTAGGCCACTAACATACATTTATTTCTAAAACAATATATGTACATCTGCTTAGGTATATTCTATTAGAAATAAATTTATCCTAGTTTTCCATTTTTCTTTCAAAATATCAGTAGACTAAACTTCTGTAGACTAAAATAAATTGTTAATAAAAAAATTAAATCGAATTGAATTTCGGTAGATATGAAAAAAATAATTGTGTAACAGCATTTCTCTTGAAAAATACAGACTCTGAGTGCCAAAGAACATAAACACTAGGAAAAAAGTTATAGTTCTTCATTCTTACATAACAAGTATATTAAAAATAAAAGCATTTAAAAATCATACTACAAACTACATAAGATAGATTTATATGCTAGGCTCAATACTTACTTTAAAAGTTGATTGCATTACTAAACTTGTAAAGATTTTCTTTAAAATAGATGATAAATGACATCACTAGAATTCAGTTAACAAAATATAGACTGTAGGACGTGATAGGACAAATGGGCTAAACATGTCAATAACTAATTGACCCATTATTGGGCACAACAAACAAAAAAAACAAAAAATAGTGGAATTTGAATATTTGATATTACAGAATTAATGTTATTTTTTCTAATTGTGATAACCAGATTATGGCTATATTTTATAAAAGTACTTATCTCTTGCAGATACAGACTGAAATATTTATAAATGAAATTATAAATTATCTTACATTTGGTTCAAAATAATTTTAAGAGTGATAGCGTAAACAAGATTGCCATTACTTGATTATTGCTGCAGCTGAGTGACCAGTATAAGGAGATTCACTACTTTTATATATGTTTGAAACTTTCCATAATAGAAGTTTTTTTTTCATTTCTAGTTATGTGAAATTTTAATATCTGTCATTTTAGAGGTGAGTAGTAGAGTGCTAATATTAGCTAGTGGTCTGGAATAAATTAAAATCTAACAAGTAATTCAAAAGTCATCACTCCAATAGGACTCATTTCAGAGATAAATTTCAACCAAAGAAACTATAGCAGATGTGCTAAGATGTAGTTACGAGAGAAAAAAGCTCAATTATTCAAGTAAAGATAATTTCTAACATTTTTACCTTGAGTTCCAGCCTTGTAGTATTTGCTTGGCACCGATAAGTAGCAAGAAGAAAGTTGTCATTTGACTGAGAAGAAATCAAAATAAGGGAAGAGGATGAATTCATGTTTTTGATGAAAACAGCCTCAAATTAATTATGGTTACCATTTACTAAGAATTTATCATTTGAGTGGCACTGTGCTAAGTGGGTTTCAAGCATTCCTATTTAATGTTATGCAGTAAGTATTAATAAGTTTTAATTCATAAAGAAACTGAGGCTATGGTAAATTAGGTAACTTTCTCATTGCTACTTGACAAATGTGGAATTTAAATATGGACCTTTAAGATTTTTTTTAATTTTTTTTAGGACCTTTAAGATTTTAAGAGCTTAAAAAACTCTTTCCAAAAAAACCAACAACAAAAAACTCTTCCCACATTGGCTCTCTATAATTTTAAACATGAAGAGTCCAAATATTTTACTGATGATTCAAACTCCTAATATTTATATAACAAAGAAACGGATGTTGAATGCCTTTGAATTTTACATATGTATATTCATCAGGGACTAAGAAAAATCTTCTCTCTATATCCCCAGCAAATATCACAGTACCTAGTATGCGCTAAGTCAGCAGTTATCAACTTGTGGGTTGCCACCCCTTTGGTGATGGAATGCTTTCACAGGGGTCGCCTAATACATCCTGCATATCATATATTTACATTACAATTCATAACAGTAGCAAAATTACAGTTATGAAGTAGCAGTGAAAATCATTTTCTGGTTGGGGGTCACCACAACATAAGGAACTGTATTAAAGGGTCGCGGCATTAGGAAGGTTGAGAACCACTGCACTAAGTACTTAATATATGTAGGAAGATGTTATTTCAAATATTGTAACTTCTCGAAATTGAATACAAAACTAAAAAGGAATGAATGCATGAATTATAAAATATATTGCTATTCCTGTATTTTATAAATGGCTGAAGAAAAACAAAAGTTGCTAAAATCAAAAAGCAATTTCAAATTACTTACATTCAGTAAACCCAGAGGATCAGTTAAGTTAAAAATAAATGTATTCTAGATATGAAAATAATTATAATTTATAATTTATCAAGGGGGTCACAAGGGTTGGAGGTGGGGAGGGAAAAAAGATGAACTTATACCAAGGGTTCAAATAGTAGAAAGTAAATGTTTAGAAAATAATGATGGCAACAAATGTAAAAATATGCTAGATACAATTGATGTATGGATTGTTATAAGAGCTGTAAGAGCCCTCAGTAAAATGATTTTAAAAATAATAGTAACAACGATGATAAATAAATGTGTTCTTAAGCTATTTAAAACAAGTGCTATGTACTGACATATTTATGGAAAAAATAATACATATTGAAAGAGATAAAATGTCGGGGACTAGTTTTAAAATAATATAGCTTTGGGGAATAGGAAGGAGAGTCCAGAGAATAAAGCAAGACTGGCCATACTTTTAAGCAAGTATATGGAGGTTGTTATAATATTCCTTCTCTTCGTTAATATACCAGAAAATTTCTATGTTTTTTAAACCATCAGCAAAGAGAATAGACTTTAAATCAGTATAAAATGCTCATTTCAAAGAATCTTGCATCAGTGTAAGTAAAACTGGTTAATTTTTTAGTAATTGGCAATTAGTGATAGTTTGTTAACTTGATATTTTAAAGGTACAAAAATATAGATCCTAATATCTTGTATTTTGTTCTCCAACAGGGAAAATAAACTATAATAAAACTATTATATAATAGCTTATCAAGAAGAAAATTTTTACTATAAAATTATGTTGAAATTTCTTCTCAATATGAGTGAGCTTCCAAGAGTTCACAGAAAATTACATTATCCTTCTATTTCATTTTACTACAAACTTTTTGAAGCCCCTTCATATAATTATCAACTGTTTTCTTTTCCACTCTTCATATTCCATCCTTTTTTCATATGTAATCTGATAATTGTCTTCTTTTGTTCTGGCCTAAATCCTCTAAGCTCTAATCAAGAACCTTTTCTTACCCAAATTCTCTTTAGCAGCCACATCTAGCTCTGAATTTGCGAGACTTCTACTACAAAGCATAAAGAAGTGAATGTAGTGGACATACCCACAGCACAGGTATGATTCTGTCACAGGTGCTTTATATATAGTGAATGCCCAACAAATATCTGCTGATTCAAGGCATTAAGTAGGCATTCAACAAGTTCAGAAAAAGAGAATACCAGGGAGAACAGGCTGGGAATAGATCATGTTCAAATGTAGGTATAAGTATTTTCAAGAAATTGTAAAAACTTCAGTTTGGCAGAATCAAGGAGGGATAAAAGACCTGGTAAAAGATCAAGAGCTAAATGATGAAAATTTTCTATGCAACAATGAGGAATCAAGATTTACATACTTCAGAAAACAAGGCTTTGAGAAGAGAAATGACAAGGAATGTTTATAATTTAGGAAGAACTCTCTGTGTCAGTGCACAGCAAGCCTTGAGGTAAGACACAAGACTGCAAGCAAAGAAACTAGTTAAGAGAGTCCCAAGATTCCTGGTAGCATAGTGTTACGCAGTGGGCTGTGATTTGAAAGATCCGCAGTTCGCAGCCACTAGCCGCTCCTTGACAGAAACATGGGGCTTTCTACTCCCATAATAAAAGAGTCTTGAAAACCCACAGGGACAGTTCTACCTCGTCCTAAGGACTCGCTAAGGAGTCTTTATGAGGTAGCATCGATTCAATGGCAGTGTTGTGTTTATGCAACTTCCCTCTAGTTCTTTAATGCTTCCTCCCTGCCCAATGTAATGATCCCAATTCTACCTTACAAATACGGCTAGACCAGAGGACGTACACTGGTGCAGATAAGAACTGGAAACACAGGGTATTAAGTACAGACAAAACCCTCAGGACCAATAATAAGAGTAGTGAAACTAGGAGGGGAAGGGGAAAGGGAAACCGTCACAAGGATCTACAAATAACCCCCTCCATGGGGGACAGATAACAGAAAAGTGGGTGAAGGGAGATGTTGGACAGTGTAAGACATGACAAAATGATAATTTATAAATTATCAAGGGTTCGTGAGGGAGCGGTGGGGGGGAGGGAGGGGAAAAATGAGGACCTGATACCAAGGGCTCAAGATAGAAAGAAAATGTTTTGATAATGATGATGGCAACAAATGTGCTTGACAGATGTATGTATGTATGGATTGTGATAAGAGTTATATGAGCTCCCAAAAGAATGATTTTAAAAAGAAAGAAACTAGTTATAGCAGTAAATTCACAGTAAGGGTCTGGATTAAGTTAACAGAAGTGGGGCTGAGACGCACTAGAATTATGAGAGCCAAGGACACCGAGGTGGCAAAACCTAGTAACTGACTGATAGAGAAGGTGATAGAGAAAGAATGTTTAACAGCCAGGTCTCTAGATAACCTAAGGAAAGGGAAAATGAAAGGAGAAGCAGATTTTGATGGAAAGACTATAAAAGGAAAGACTGAAGAAGGAATATCAAAGTCTAGTAGCAATCACAGGCTTTAGGAAACAGCATAATCAAAATTAAAGGATATAAATGACTCTTCATATGATTAGTTCACTCACCTCAGAATCACAGCTGCTAAAGCTGACAACAGCAGAATTTTTATCCACATCAAGTAAATCTATTGGGACATCACTCTACAGTCAATATTTAAAGAGGAAAAAAAGGAAAAAACATTGAGATGGAATACTTAAATATTTTCACAAAATGTACTTTATTTCAAGGTTATTCTTAACTCCATGTTCATCTTAAAACATAAAAATATGTATTCCCTTAACTTATTGTTAATAGTATGCAATCCCAAAAGCAAATATAATAAAATAAAGAATAGATGCTATTCTATAATTATTTATTTTTTCTAATTTGGACAATAAGAGATCATAGATAGAACTTCATCTCTAACACCCACTTAATGGTATGAGGGGGCTTCACAAAGTTCATGCAAATTGGAATTGAAGGATAATGGAATTTTCCCAAACTTTTTTGCAGATACCGGATATACTCGTGTATCGGCTGAGTTTTTCAGCACATTTTTAATGCAGCTTTTGTGGTAAAATTAAATGCCTTGGCTGACATTCGGGTTGGCTTACACTCGAGTATATATGGTACCTTGAATAGTCTTATCTAATTTTTTCATTGCTAATAGTGTTACTATGGTCTGTGAATAATTGTGTGGCCATTTTCATTACATTGGTTTAATTTTATCAATTTTAATTTAATCTGTAACATAAAAAGGAGATATTTTTGTTTTTGTTTTTCTGGGGAGCTCGTTGCTAGGACCAAACTGTTATGTATTCCACATGAATTACACGCTCGGTTGTTCAGTGCAGCCGCCCCTCCGATCAAGTAAAAACTCACTGTCCCCAAGTCAATTCCAACTTACAGAGGTCCTCAGCTAGCATTCCTTAACAGATTGCTGCCTTTAAGTTTTAAACAATGATTTTATCTTTAAAATTCTGTCTCCCTCTTCCCCTATTTCTTTAATCATTTTCTAATTGATTTTCTAACTTTTGCTTGTTTTCCATTCCTCTTTTTCTTTTTCCTAAATCTTTTCCAATTTAAAAAAAGAATAAGTAAGCATACTGATTAATGATTCCTAAATTTTACTTAGGATTACCTGCTTTGCTAGTGATCCACTTAGAAATTATTAGGTTACTAAGCAAGCTAAAATTTTAGAATTGGAGGCTTTAAAAACAGTTCTAATAAGGTGATTAAACAGTGGCATTCTCTAAGTCACAATTCTACTAAAACTCTCCCAGAAGGTACCCCAAGAAGGAAGTCCTTCTTGGTTTCTTCTTGCTGACTTTTTCTAAGACTTAACACCATCTTTTTGTTTGTTTATTTAATAAGCCTAGGCTAAATAAGAACGAAAGGTATAATCTGCATAATCTATGAGCAAAGTTATCTTACACAAATTTGCAAAATATAACATTTAAAATTAGTATCTAACCTGTTTTCAATAATTAATGCATAGGATTAGTTTGCAAAAAGAGCCATTCATAAGATATATATTAAAGTCAATTAAGTTATCCCTTTACCTGAGAAATTAAAATTTTGCTTACCTGTATTAAGACATTATCTATTGCTGTCTGCACCTCTAAGATAAGGCTATAGCTGGCATCATCTTTATTTAATATGAATTTGTCATTTACACTAAATGAAGGTACTGCTGATTTTGCTTTGCTTGACTGAGAAGACTGTTGATATTTCTCTCTTTCCTGTAGTACTTTATACTGCAAATGTTCCAACTCACTCCTAGAGGGAAATATGCACAACTTTGTCACCTATACTATAAACAGATGACGTCCTGAAAATGTTTCCAAACTTGAGCCATTAACTTCTGTTTTTATAATTTGAGCTAAAACTGTAGCATCAGTAGGAACAAAATTGTTTTGTTTCTATCAATGATCAAATGATTCTATAGTATTTATCCCAAATGTAGAAATTAAAACATCTATTCAGTCCCATATTAGCAATATTAATAAGAAATTTTAAGTAGCAAACTAGGTTGCAAAAAAATCAAATGCAGGTATGTAATTACTGCTTATAGTTACATAGAGTACTACTTATAACGGAAAATGATGACAGTGGGGCAGAGAAATATATTCGATTTAATGAGAAGAAACAAAAGGTGAAGCCAGTATCTTTCAGCAAAACTGTAAAGGAGACAGACCAGTAAGAGCATGCGAATAATGGCATGCAAGAGAAGAGCATTCTTTTCAGCGCAAAGGCAATATGAGCCAGTTTGGGCTCCAGGGGAATCAGAACCAGTGGCTTTGGTGAACTGACTTGGGCTAAAACATATTTCTAAAGAAAGAGATGATGGAAAAGCGCAATACCATTGGCCAAAATAAGATCAGGGACAACTGTGGAATAAAACACCAATTGCTCATATTCAACTTCAAGTGGAAGTTGAAGAAAATCAAAACAAGTCCACAAAAGCCAAAATACAACCTTGAGTATATTCTTAAACACACACACACTAAATGTTAATAACCAGAGAGCAGCTAAGTTGTACGATGACATCCAAATATCATACATCAGAAGCCCTGGTGACATAGTGGTTACGTGTTGGGCTGCTAGCCTCAAGAACATCATACACGAAGAAAGCAAAACACTGTTAAAAAGACGAGAAAGAAGAAAAAGACCAAAGTGGGTATCAGACAAAACTCTTGAACATAGAACAGCTAAAGCAAATAGAAGACATGAAATAAAAGAACGGAACAGCACAAATTTAATGACAGTTCAAGAAAACAAATTATAATTTAGTTTTTAGTTATAAAATTAAAAAGAAGAAAATGCTAAGCATATCTCAAGCTGAAAGGAGCGAAGAAAAATTCAAACTTTGAGTTGTATTCTTGAAAGAATCTATAGGCAAATATTAAATAATTTAGGAAGCATCATAAGAAGATAGAAAGAATATACAGTCAGTGCACCAAAAAACAACTGGCTGACATTCAGTCATTTCAACTAGTATCATATGATCAAGGTCCAATGGTTACTGAAGAAAAAAGTCCAAGTGATACCGAAGGCATTAGCAAAAAATAAAGATCCCAAAATTGATAGAACACAACTGAAATGTTAAAACAACAACAAAAAACCCCAAGCAGCACAGGAAGCCCTCCTCAGAGAAGTGGAAGACTGGCCAGCTGACTAAATAGATCCTTATTTGTGCCCTTTCAAAAGAAAGGTGAAAGTAGAAATTATCACACACGATCATTAGTAATCACATGTAAGTAAAATTTTGCTGAAAATAATTCACAATGGTTGCAGCAGTACATCTACAGGGAACTATCAGAAATTCTATTTGGATTCCTAAGAAGCCATGGAATGAGGGGTGAGAGAGTTAAAGTTTATTGTGCCAACCTGGCTGATAAACACATGTGGGGTTAATTGTAGGGCAGAGAGAGAAATGGCTCAGTGAGCCTCTACTTTCTAATTCTTGGGTCTCTTGCTTTCTGATGGTTGGACCAAGGTGCAGCTGCCTTAGCCAGTTCCCTGCTTCACCTGGCAAGGCTCACTTCCTGCAAGACATCCCTGAGGAGAAGCCACCTACCCCAATGCATCCCTGGGTGCTGGAGCAGTCGTGTGGAGACCCCTGTCAGTACTGAGATGCTTACATGTTCACTGATTTGGCTTTCCTCCTGCAGTCGGCATCATTATGTGTGTTTTGTAAGATGGAGGAGGACTTTGTGGACTGGTGTCGGACATATAGGCTATTATTGGATTTGTGGGCTTGGGCAGCACTGTGTTGGGATGCTTTCTTAATAATGTACACTTACTCTTTATATTAAAATCTCTTATACATTTGAATTTCTGTGGATTAGTTTCTCTAATGTACCCAGACTAACACAAGGGGTATCATTACTGACATCAGATAGACCTGCACTGAAGGCAGAGAATTCCAAAAAGATGTTTCCTTGTGTTTTATTAATTATGCATAGGAATTCTACTGCGTGGATAAAAAAAAAACTATGGATAGCGTAGTGACGAATATAAATCCCAGAACCCTTAATTGTGCTCATGTGGAACCTGTATTTAGACCAAGAAGCAGTTACAAAACAAGAGAATGCTACATTAAAAGTAAGAAAGTGTGTATCAAGGTTGTATCCTTTCACTATACTTATTCAATCAGTAACGAATCTGCTGAGTAAATAATCCAGGAAGATGAAATAAAGAACTCAGCATCAGGACTGAAGGCTCATTAATAATCTGCAATATATAGATAACACAATCTCAATTGCTGAAAGCCAAGAACACTTGAAGTGCTTACTGATAAAGATGAGAGAATATAATTTTCAATATAAATACAAATCAATAGAAAAAAACAAAATTCTTCACAACTGAAGTAATATACAACAGCATGATAAATGAAGAAAAGATGTCTAGGATTTCATTTCTCCTTTCAATTCGATCCATAATCAGTATTGATGGAAGCAGCAGTCAAGAAATTACACAATGTATTCCATTGGGCAAATCTATTGCACAAGACCTCTTTAAAGCATTCAAAAGCAAAGATGTCACTTTGAGGACTAAGGTGCACCTGGCACAAGCCATGGTATTTTAAATATTCTCTTATGCATGTGAAAGCTGGACAAGGTTAAGGAAAACTGGAGAACAACCGATGCATTTGAATTATAGTATTGGGGAAGGGTACTGCAAGTACCATAGACTATCAGGAAAACAAATCTGTCTTGGAGAAAGTACAGCTCGGATGATCCTTACAAGCAAGATTTCATCTCACATAATTTGAAAATGTTATGAAGCGAGACCAGTCCATGAAGGACATCGTGCTTGGTCAAGTATGAAAAAGACCCTCAATTAGAGGAACGACAGGGTGGCTGCAACAATGGGCTCATACATAACAACAGTGAGGATGGTGTAGACGGGACAGAGTTTCATTCTGTTTTACATAGGGTCAACTATGAGTTACAATTGACTTGATTATCACCTAACAACAATAGTATGTCTGCTATTTTGCTGGCTTGAAAACTTCTAGTCTCCACTACTTGCAGAAAATATCAAGATCTCCTATCCCATCCAAACATTAGGAAGGACCAAAGTAGAAAAAGCAAGCATGAAAAGTTTCAGCAACCTATTCATCTTTCCTGTCTGAAGCAGCTTCACATGAGCCTAGAGTTCCTTATCACAGAGCCAGTGAAACTAGGCAGGTTTTGCAGGCAACCTGCATCAAAGGGATTCAAAGAGAATACCAGTAGAAAATTTATAAGGCAGTTACAGATTCCAAGAATGCACAGGAGCAGTTAAAACAGAATCTTCTCTGTTGGTTTCTTTATGTCGATGGGGAAAAAACGCAACTATGTATGACTAAAAAGTTTAAAAATTTACTCTGATCTAAGAAAAAGCCATTAGAGAATAAAGCACACAAAATGTCTACTTCCAAAATGTTGTGGTTGTCTGATACTATTGAATCCTTTAGGGTGCACAACAGAAGGCCTGGTCCGGTGCCATTCCACTCAATTGGCGTTATCCGCGAGCCCATTATTAGCAGCTACGGTGTAAACTGTCTCACTGAGGATTTTCCAAAATGTTAAACAGAGCTCAATGTTAATTTTCTTTAAACTATACACATTCATCTTAAAATTAACTCTTTGTAATCAGTCAATTCTAACTCATGCTAATTAACTATACCACTTCTTCCAATAAAAGACTACAAATATCCATCTATTGCTATCCAGTTGATTCTGCATCTATGTTACAAATAAGTACGAACCACATATTTTATCAAAAGGGGAGTGGGGAGGGGAGAAAAAACTAGTTACCTTAAAGAAGAAATTTTATTCTGCATCTCCTGATTAATTTTTAATTCTTCTCCTGGTCCACTTTCCTTATGAACAGGTTCAGTTGTCAGACCAGTGACCCAGCCTATAGAGATGAATTACAATCAATCACCATTGAATGTTGACATTATTATCAAGAGCTGCACTCCACTATGCATACTCCTTTATCCACCTACATTAATCTCACTTAGCCTGAAGATTTGTACCATTCTTTAAAAAAAAATCAAGATGGACAATATTCATATCATAAAGAAATCAAGTAGTAAGCATTTCGTGATATAGATAAACTCTTAAGAGTCAAAATCCATAGACAGTCTTGTTTCTTGCAAGTTTTCTGCTTTGATAGTTTGCATGCAGTCTGTTAGTGGAAAACAGTTGAGTTTTTCTCTCTGATAGGTTTCCACCATACACAGGCACCTGCTATTGCAGCATTTACTGAATTTTTTTTTGGAGGGGGTGCCTTAAATACCACAATACAATGACTAAAAAAGCTTTTCATTTATTAACTTAATAGTTTTTAATTTCAAACATGGCGTGAGTCAACAGAGTTTAGCAAATTAAAAACAAATGGTAAATGATAATTGCCTTTCAAGGGCTATTTTCATGAAAATGTGAACTCTCATAGGACTATGGGAAAATGAAAAAAATCACACTCAAAAGCTAGCATGATTTTAAAAAGAATTACATTACATACAGTATAACATATAAGCTATACTTTAGGAAGTATTCCTCTTTAAATGACAAAAATTTGTTTCATTTTCAGAACATGTATGACAAGCATGCTTTAAAAAGTATTATTCACATATGAACTACCTAATAAATCAGCCTGCCCCCATTCCCCTCATTTTTTACTCAATAAATATTTTAATGCTAGATGTAAAAGTGATTTATTAGTAATACTTGTAAAATCAGACATTAAAATAATTTATAAAATCCATGTTTTCTATTATCAATATTTCCCACAACTTCTGTTCCCATTTACCTTACCTGAATATGTGGATACCACAATTTCATCATAGCCGTCTTTCCCTATACAACCACCTTGAATAGATGTAACACTTTCAGACAAGGTCTAAAACAATTAAAAATTATGTACCTCATTAATAATGGCAAATTTCACACACAAAAATATTATGTTACAAAACTTATTTTCTCCAGATATTCAAAACATATACTTATTATATGCTTACTGTGTGTCCAGATAAAAATTATATATAAGTTTTACTTAAACTTCAAAAGATTATGATGTTTTTAAATTTGGGAAAAGTACATTCACAATAACTATCATATTTATGTGTACAAGAGAGCTAAGAGTAGCATCATCAAAGAGCAGAAATAATGTATTTATATAAAGAAATTGTATAAGAATGACATATGCATAACTCTAAAAGTATAGTCTGTATTCTGAATTTCATAGAACACATCCCAGGTTTTCTCCAAAGTTTTCTGGTGAATGAAGAGAGGACGGCCTCTATGGAATCTAGAAGAAATTTGCTACTATGGAAAGAAACCAAGTCTTTCAGATGTGAGATCTAAACTCAATTACTTAATATAAACATTCTAGCCAAAATCCCCTTCGTGATGTATTGTGAATTCTAGCCTCTAACTTGTGGTTAAGCTTATAGTTACTGAGGTGGCTTGTGTGTTGCTATGATGCTGGAAGCTATTCACTAATATTTCAAATACCAGCAAGGTCACCCCAGGGAAATAGTTTCAGCAGAGCTTCCAAAGTAAGAAAAGACTACCAAGAAGAGATAGCTTGTCCATTTCTGCGGAATAAGCCACTAAAGCTTCACGAATAGTTACGGAATATTATCTGATACTGAAAATCTCATGAGTAGCAGAACTGTCAGTTGTAGGGATGGGAGCTGAGCTCTTCACATTGTAAGTCACTCCAAAATACGACTGAGAAGAGCGGCTTCCTCAGAGTAGAGTCAACCATAAAGATGTGGATGGTGTAAAGCCTTCAGTACTTACATTTTGATAGAGAACAACTCAAAATGAGAAGCAGCAGCTAGAATCATCCATTAATAATGGGAACTTGGAATGTTAGAAATACTAATCTAAAAAAAATTAGAAGTTGTCAAAAATGAAATGGGACACATAAAGATCAACATCGAGGTGCTAGTGAGCTGATATAGTCTAGTATTGGCTATTTAGAATCAGACAGTCATATAGTTTACAATGGGAGAAATGGTATTCAAGAGGAATGGTGTCACATTCATAGTCAAAGGGGATATTTCAAGATCTACCTTGAAGTAAATGATATCTGTTATAGGATAATACCTA